CCCGCGCCCGCGTCCGTGCCCGCGCCCGCGCCGCCCGGGTACACTGGTAGCACGTGTGCCAGTAGGGGCCGTGGGAGAGGGGCAGTAGGAAGAGGGGGAGGAGAAAGAGGAGGAGGGAGAGAAAGGGGGGGGAGGGGGGGAGGGGAGGAAGGAGAGAAAGAGGAGGAAGGGGGGAAGGGGAGGAAGAGGAAGGGGGGAGAGGGAAGAGGGAGCTAAAGGAGGGGGTTTAGGAGGGGGAAGGGGGGAGGGGGGGGGAATCATTTTTCCATTGCTTATATATATTTAAGGGCATACAAATTGACGTGGCCATTCTGAGCCCATGCGGTCTCTTGTCTCGATGTTCCATAGGTGCTTGTTGCTTTGGCGTAGGTTTGACACCGCGCAGGTTGGGTTAGGACACCAAGTAACTCCCCGCATATCCTCGTCAAGCGCCATACCGTATGATTGGTGATGGACTATGTCTTGCCAGCCGGAGCTACAGGCCTCGCTGATGTAATACCTGATGCTTTGAACCAGTACAAGCAAGTCGTCTCGGCCCTGGCAGTGTTCGACCCAAATTTTGGCCTCTGCACCAGTAGATCCAGCAGCAATGCTATGGCTGTATTGGCTGCAGCGTGGTTGAGTACTGACGAAAAGGTCTGCATCGGCGGCACTCCTCCAGGGTTTGGCTGGGTCCGGACAAAGCGGCCATCGCATATGCTTAGCTTCCGGACTCGATCCGCGCCACTCGACGCAGTCACACAAGTTGGGGTCGAAAATTCTAAGGGGATTACCCGCCACGGGCCATAATTGAGGCATCCACTGTGTCGCGCTCATGCCGCGCGGTTCTTCTTCAAATGCCTTTCGAAGACTCTCAGCGCACATTTTCCCCGACGGCAGCCGCGTGACAAATATGTGTCGTGCATGCAGAAGATCCATGAACAAGCCATCATGGTCATTTCGGCTGACAAAGAAGGAAGGGAATCTATCTTGCGCGCAAGTGTCGATGTCGCAACGCAGTGATGGGTGAAAATGTTCTTGGTTTATGCATCTCAGCTCTTCAAGCGGTGTGTGCTCTCTCGATGTGACCTGATGCCAAGTCATGGTGGGAACATGATTGCAAAGGACAAAGTAGCCCTCATGACCGATGCATATTCTATCACTTGACTCCGGTAACAGACGCTGACCAGAGGAGAAATGCATGCTTCTGTGCTTTGTGCGACACCGCGAGCAGTATAGCTCTGACATGAACTCCAGGAGGGCTTTGCCAGAATCATCACCCTTGCGCTTCGTCGCACACTTTGAGCACATGCTCCCGAAGGAGCTTGCGGCTTGGTTTTTGAACCATAAGGAGGGCGGAGTCCATATGCGAGCCGTGTCGTAGAATCTGTCTTCGTCCTCGTCCGGCGTCAGATGATGTTGTTCAAAACCCGCATCGCTGCTGAAAAGCCACATGAATATTCGAGATGTGTGTCGCAGTCGGAGTAAACTGTCGAGATCAAGTGATTTCATGAGGACTATGAGGGTCTTGTCCGGCAGTCGCAGAAGCGGGCTCCAAATCTGGTTTTTGTACGCATTCTGGACAAGTATGTCGGCGCCCTTGTTCTTCAACACACACTAATATCGTTAGATGGAGAAATCCGAGTTGTGTCTGGTGTCAAGTACTTACCGAGTCATACGGGGGGGTGGCAAGTCAGACTCCATCTGGTAGATTTCAAGCAGTCTGGTTAAAGAGAAGGGGAAAGAAATTCATGACATGTGAGAGCGCAGACGTGATTTATATCGATATCGTTAGCTCGATTTTTACCTTTCCTTCCGAAGGACGGCTAGCACACGTGGCAGTGGCTAGAAAGGCAAAAACACAGCCACGACTTCGATGTGCGTTCTAGGTTACGGTAGCTTCTGTTTCCGGGCGTATAGCGCGATGGCTCGCGAGCATAGTTGAGGGCTGTGCTGCAATGTAAGATTTGAATCTTGCAACGAGACCTGTGCTTAATTAGGAAAACCCCACAGAAGGTCCCTATATCATTTTGTAGGAGACCGTACATACATAGAAACAAGACTGTATTGTGGCTGTATTGTGTTTTTGATATGGCTTTTGCCTAGACCAGCCGCGCTTCGATGTGCGCCTTTAGGCTGTTATCGACGAATTGAGGAGCTCTCGCATAGCTGCCTTAATTAAAGCCTTGAGCCGTGATGCCGCTGCCGCTGCCGCGTTGGCTGCCTATGTTGGGTTGGCTGCGCTGCCTCTGCTGAAGCCCTGGAGCCAGATGGCGAGTGAGGCTATCTAGGAATTCGGTTTCTTGTATTGATGTTGATGTGAGGTCTGTTGTTGATAGAAGCGCGTGATAGGTCTGTTGTGGTGGCTGTGTTGACCTTGATTGGCTCAGGTCTCTGATTGGCTGAAAACCCCGCTAGTGCTAGGTTACTGCAGCGCCAGTGGATGACGCCGCGCCAGTCTATTAGTAATAGGTATAGGCTCATGTTGCAAGATTTAAATAATTCAGAGGACCTGTAGCCACCGTGGCAAGAGCCAAATCGCGCCTCGATTTAATGATGCTGTACCACACATTGCCAGCGCTAGCAGAACGCTTTCATTAGCCAGAAATGACACGAATCCATCTTTATGACCCTTCCCACTTTGGTACAACTTTAAAACCCCCAGTTTCCCTCGGGTTGTTCTTCACGAGGGGCACACAGAACATGGCTCGCGAAAGCGCTAGACCATCTTGATAAAAGAAGATCTTCTAGGTAGTTGTTTCGAATGACTCGAGAGCAACTATCGGATGAGATCCGTCCGTCCTCGTCCGGGCGGGCGCGGGCGCGGGCGCGGGCAGCCGCTTTTGGGCAGTATTTTGAGAAATGGGGCCGTAGTTAGCCGTGGGTTACAGCGTCATATCTCATATCCAGTCCATGTGCGTGGCACCGTATTTTCGACCTTGCCTCCTCGTCAATCTGAACACTGGGCCAGGGATACAAAGCAACTGCCGATGTGCGTCGCATTCATTCTGGGGACTAATACAATGCTACAACAAGTGCTGGATTGTTATGACAAAAATGAGGTGAGACTCTCAATATCCGAGACAAGACTTGGTCCCTTGTGGTTTCTATTTTTGCGCCATCACCCGCCGGCAAATTTGGCCTGCCCTTGTAAAGTTCAATGATGACAGAAAAAGAAAGGTGAACAAGGTGCTTGTGC